TAAACTCATAGAGCATTTAAACTGACAGAAATGCCTTAAAAGTAATCATGGTTCCACCCTAATCATGTTTCTTTAACAACTCACTTTCTAGTGTGAAACACTTTCCATACAGGCTCCCTCCCGGGAGGGGACAATGAAGTGTTGTGGTATGGAATTCGTGCGTAAAGGGTTCATGTTGTAGTGCTGAAAAAATGAGATTTACCTTTTCAGCCTGGAATAGGATTGCAACATCACTTTTTGAGGTGATTTTAGCTCAGGTATAGTGAACCAGTAGCCTTCACTTAAAGATGGAGTTTGAAATTTATAGGGGTTACAATTAATCACCTTAAGTTCTTCCTTTGCATCCCAAAGGTCCTTCTATCCCAGCACGTCATTCTCCTGAACAGATAATACTGGGCAGTTACATATCTGCAACTCTGATCTAAAAGAGGTGCTCTATCCAGCACACAGGCAGTTAATGTGGTAGGTAAATGGGCCCTGACAAGTCATCTTTTTTCTGATGCTTGAAGTCCTTTTCTTGTAGCATGTATAACTGTTAACCAGAAATACAGACAACTTGTGTGACAATCAGACACAGGTTAATTGGGCTGCTGGGGCAGTGGCTGTTTCATATTTATACTAGGTCAAAGACAAAAACATTTCTCTAGATCAGTATTAAATAGGTGTCTTTTTTTCAAAACAGTAAAGGGTTAATAGATCCCAGAATAGACACTGCATGGAAAATACCAAAACACATTTATCTCTGCTTCACCGTGCAGATTTTCCATTGCTAAATTCACCTTTTATGTCATGTATATCAGATGTGTGAGAAATCTGGAAAACCTCAATCTGCTCCAGGCTGCTGCTTCCAGCTGACATTGAATAAGGGGTCACCCTACATAACGTTAACAATGAATGTAAATATATTTTTGAGGTTCCTTGAAAAGTCGGCCCCTTGAGCCTCTCTAACAGACAAACACATTTTTTTAGCCAATTTTTTAAGTTGGCTGAAGCTGAAGATACAAGAAGCCAACAGCATAGTCCACAGTGCTACTAGGATGCTTACAAAATGAGTCACTGAAGTATGTTCTATAATTCTGATAAAAGGTTGTGCAGGGAAAATAATTTGTAACACCATGGAAACTGAGCAGTCTCCCCAGTTCACCCATTACTCCTCTAAACCAAGAGCTGTAAATGTCCAGCACCATCTGTATTCCTTGTACTCTCTCTTCCAGTGCCAGACTGCCAAGTGACACAGTAGATTGAGGAGCACCTGTTTTGATACCTCTTTCAGAGGCTCTGAGATTTTCACTGAATCTCCTTTCGTGGGTACTGGATTTGACAATTTTCCAGCAGTTTCATCTCTGCATCCTGCCTTCAGCCACTTTTCTTTGACTTGTAGATAAATTTGTTCTAACAAAACAGCTTTCTGACACAAATTCTTTAATATAATTCACCTGCCACTGTCAGCACACAGAGGACAAATGGAAAACAAAAAGCACTAAGTTAAGCATTCATCCTTGTGTACAAGGTAGCATCAGAAGACAAAAACTGTGGTCTTCCTTCTGCCCTGTACTCCAGGTTGGAATGATCAGGATGAAAATGTGTTGACTGCACTTCATGTTGTGAAATGTCCATTCCTTTCCTTCTCATCTTGCCCCTTCATCCCACCAAGAAGTGATCCCTTCTTCCAGGGTGATCTGTTACAAACCATTACCACACAGGCATTGTGGCCAAAACAACAGTGCTACTCCTTAACTTGGAAAGCTGCTAGAGATGAAATGGTATGCTGCTCACAGAGATGTTTCTCCAGGCTTGTACCTTTGTGTAGAGAATGAAGACAATTACATTTTCACACCACTTCACTTGGCATTTTGTAGCTCTAGCTAGACTATAAAATATTTTGCTGGAAGATGTTTTTAAATAAAAGATGCTTACAGATTTGGAAAATCCCTGTGAGGTTTTTACCTCCAGAGCTAGGTCTTTGGATAACAAACAGTAGAGAAAGCTATAAGAAGAAAAGACAAAGCTAGTTAATTTGAAAGGAAAACACAATATATTAAACAAACAAACAAAACAATAGCAAGGCACTGCTTTAGAGTGTCAGTGCAACCTTTCAATAAGAGTTTCAATCTCAGCTCCACCTTGCAGGATGTTTGCTTGGATTTAGGAAAAGCATATCCTGGCCAACATACAGAACCTGTGCATCTTCTTACTGAATTGAAGAAACAAAGCTAAGAAACTGAACAACAAAGTTTTGTTATCATTAAATCGGTTATTCTTTATTAGCAGCACCAGGAAGCGCTGGGATATTTCCACCATAAGCCCTTCCAAGGTGATGTGATTCAGAGTTCATTATATTTCCACAGGTAGCACATATTCACCAATTAGCTGTGAGATAATTAACACATACATAGCTATCTCAGGCAGTGATTGATGAGGTTTCCAGTCTTCTATTCCATGGTCTCTTCTACTGTCTAGCATCCCATTAGCATCATGGCAGTCCAACAAACAACCTTTTGTTTCATCCAGTGGTCATCCGTGCTTGTCCTCTAGATAAGCTTTCATTGCTGTGTACTCTGTAGAATGCCTATTATAAGTAATTTATAGATACCAAAATCATAAAATTTGCTCACTCAGCATTTCAACCATTGTTTCTTAACTTCTGCTTGTCCCTGGAGAGAGATAAGTTTGGCAGCCTGTCTTTAAATGAGATATACCGAGGTGCTGGAAAATAAGGAAGATAGAGGGGAGTATCTTGATATTTACCTTTTGCATCCCAATCTACTCCCAGAGGGAGATAATTTGGCTTTGTGTGGAGACCCTAGCTTCATTTGATGTCTGATAAGCCTACTCATGTTTTTTCATTATTGCATTTCTTTTGCTGCAGGTCTCTTGTTGAAAGAGTATAGCCTTACAGCATGCTTCCTAGTCTATAATGCTACATCCATAACCACTCACAACATCTAAAACTATTACAGTTTTGCAAGCAAGTTGCTAATCACATAATACAACAATTCAATGGCTCTATTTTTAAAAATGCGCTACTAAAATATATTGTGTATTTACTTCTTCCAATCACAACCCATCAAACCAGGGTGCACGGCCTCACAGTGCCTGTGTGCTGAACCAGTTGGACACAGGGAGGTGGTTAAGTCACCACCCCCGAATGTGTTTAAAAATGATTTGGATGTGGTGCTCAGGAGCTAAGAGCTTGAGAAAATAGATAGTAAGATAATATGGGGGAGCACCAATACTGTTAGGTGGAGAAGAGAAGGCTCTGGGGAAACTTCATTGTGGCATTCCAGTACTTGAAGGGAGCATATAAACAAGAGGGGGAATGGCTGTTTACGAGGGTGGATAGTGATAGGACAAGGGGGAATGGTTTTAAACTGAGACAGGAGAGGTTTAGGTTAGATATCAGGAGGAAGTTTTTCACACAGAGGTGGTGACACACTGGAACAGGTTGCCCAAGGAGGTTGTGGATGCCCCATCCCTGGAGGCATTCAAGGCCAGGCTGGATGTGGCTCTGGGCAGCCTGGTCTGGTGGTGGCAACCCTGCACATAGCAGGGGGTTGAAACTACGTGATCATTGTGGTCCTTTTCAACCCAGGCCGTTCTGTGATTCTATGATTCTATGACATGATTGGCAGAGGGCTGTTAGGGTAATATGGTTAGGTTGCGGTTGAACTTGATGATTTTTAAAGTCTTTTCAAATCTGAGCAATTCTATGATTCTGTGAGCCATCCTGAACATCCTCATCAGCCACGGATGGGTAGCTGAGATCGGCAGGTAATTAAACAGGTGGTCAATGAGGTGAGTGAGTGGTGCGTGATACTCCAGAGGAGGAGGCAGCCTCCTCAGGAGCCTGTTGCTCCTGTTGGAGGAGTTGCATAGACACGGGGCGGCAGGAAGTGCCTCATCCCTGATGGGATGAAAACGAGGAGCCTCGGCCATCTGGCAAACTGTGTTGCACGGAACTGTAGCAGAAGAACGGAGCTACCCCTTTCAGGCACAAGCCTAGGAAGCGCAGCTCTGAAGAGACAGAGCGGAGCACCATGAGGGCGCATCGCGCATGCGCGACGCCCACGCAGAGGCGCGCTCAGGCCTAGGAACTACATTTCCCGGCATGCCGCGGGCTATGCGCGCAGGCGCAGTGAGGCGAGGCTCGTCCAGGAAATAAAGCTCGCTGCGGGTCTCCAGTAGGCCGTGATAGCAGTGAGCCGCTCGCCATGTCGACTGTAGCGGCCGCCAGCTGCGACTCCAAGGATGCCGGGGAGGCGCGGGACGAGAAGAAGCCGCTGAAGCCCTGCTGCGCCTGTCCCGAGACCAAGAAGGCGCGGGACGCCTGGTGAGTTGGCCTGGCCTGGCTTCGGGCTGCCTGTGTGCGTCGTTAGGATCTAACGTATGGCGGCCTGGTGTGACGGAGAGCGGGGACCGGCCGCTGTTTGAATACGTAATGTGCAATGGGATGAACGAGTAATATCGAAAGTTACCGTGTGCGGTAAGGTGCTTGGTTTTGTTTTTAATAAGTAGATGGACTTTTTTCCTTTTTTTTTTTTTCCAGAATCCCTAAAAGCCACCAAAAATTGGACTAACCCATTGTTTATTGGTAAAGCCAATCTAATCTGTCTTGTATTATAGAAACTTTGTCCCTCTCCTTACTGAATGATATGAGAATTTGCTGTCAAGATCAGCACCCAACACAGTGAAGCAACAGCCATGTTCTGTATAAGAAAATCCCAGTAGACCTGCTCATTGTGGACACCGGTAGTGCTACCCCAAACAGGATAGGCAAAAAAAGAAAATCTCTGGAGCCTAATTGTTATTTATTTATTCTTATTTGCCCTCAACAGCTTGTCAGCTGTGTGGTTTTGACTAATAGTAAGATAACGTTTTGTTGCTGAGCCTTGGAAGTCTTTTTGTTTTGCAGCATCATTGAGAAGGGGGAAGAAAATTGCGGGCACTTAATTGAAGCTCACAAAGAATGTATGAGAGCTCTTGGCTTCAAGATATGAGTGGGATGAGCGAGATGATGTGTGTGGTGAGTATAGCCTGCAGAAATCCACTCACTGCTTGTTTTCTGCCTCTAAAGTATCCTGATGTCTCAGCTGGTGCCACTGGGAAGTACAGGGTACTGTCCATGATGACAGAGGGCAAATCTTTCCTAAAAGAGGGAAGGCCAGGTAAACCTCATTGACCCTGAAGTAACTGCTGCTCTCCTTGTGAGGATGGCAAAGGCTTCTGGGAGCTCAGAGCCCTTGTGAGTGGCTCTTGAATAGTGAAGTTTGACCCTGCCTCTGTTCTCTTTCAAGAAATCCAGAGTTCAATTTAGATTTCTAATGGTAGGACACTGTGTTTAATTCATGTCCCTCCTTCATCTGAATGCAAAAGTCACAGAGAGAGTAAGACCTGTTCTTGTCTCATTCTTTGGGAATTGACATACCTCATAGAGTTCAGAAAGTAATTCTGGAACCAGTTTAAGAGCAGAGTAGGGCTGTATGTATACAGTACTCTTAATGTCTAGAGACTACTGAACTGTCCCTTGATATCCAGTGGGAATCCATGTTTAATGAAGCTGTCTTTCCTCCTTTTTCTAGATGATGACTGTTGTGTGAGTGGTGTACTGGAAGGCTGAAATATAAATTATTTCTGGAATTCGCTTCAAAGACAAATATGAAAAAAGAACCCATTTATAAAGAGTCTTTAACGGTAAACTGTGTATCACATCTGCAGCTTTTCCACTGTTACCTCTTTATTGCTGGTATAGAAGATATATATTTTTCCCTCTTAATAAAAGTCTAAAAATGACCAGTGATCCTGACTTCTGTTTTTTGTTTGTTTTCAGTAAAAAGTTAAGGGAAAAAATGGCAATAGCTATTCAAAATGCTGAGCTATAGGAATGGAGAGCATGAGGAAAGCTTTAATTGAAATGAGAACAGGGATCAGTCAGTCAGACCAGTGGTTGAACAGGTGGGTCTTCGGTGTGGGTTTTCCACCTGATGCAAATTGAGAAATCATGCTAGTGATATTGTTGTGTTACTGCTTTCAGCAAAGCCATGCTGAGGCTTGTTGGGGAGCTGCAATGCTAGTGTGCAGCAGGTACTGAAAAGATAGTGGACAGCTGTATATTTAAAAGCAACAATTACCTTGCAGTCAAATCTTACTGAGAGGCTTCCATTGTTATTACTGCAGGATTCTTATGGGGTGGATTCAAAGCCTGAATGTGGGGGGGACTGATGGTATACCCTATTCTGCACGTGATGTTCAGTGTAGCTGCAAGGACATGAAATGGAGCAGGAAATGTGGCTGAACTGTATAGTAGTAGTTCAACTAAATATGGTACGACTTATCTTTGTACATTTGCTATTGACCTCATTTGATTGAGCTTGTCTGAAACAGTCTTGAGACCTTTCCCAGCTGTTTCCCATATCTTATGCAAAGTGTTGTTGGTAACACACTACGTAATAAATTTAAAACAATTGTCTAACTGTTCCCTCTCTGACTTTAGGTCATCAAGGTTTTAGTGTCCACAACTCAGGTGATTAGATTACTTTTTGGGTTATGGCATCATTGGTGAGTCTGTATACATCCTGAGGAAAATAACCAGTTGTGTAGCTGCTGCAGGATCTGAGACTGATAATCTCTTGGTGTGGGGCTGCTCTCAAGGATAGAGGATAATGCTAAGTACGCAGATTTATTTGCCAAATATATAATGCACCTGGTTTGCGTTATCACCTGTTACTGAATGTTAAGTGCTACTGAATGAGTTCATTATAGGTGAGAAGTCGGTAGAAACCATTTACATGCTGCTGATTTTGGAGTTGAAGAGCTTGACATGTCTATTTTTCTTTCCCACGTGATCGTTTTGTTGTAATGCCTATGTGTCTTCTTCCAGTGAAGAGTTTTGATGCTGCTCAAGTATCTTATTATTTGCTCTCTTGATTCCAAATTGTTTTGAGCTTGATATCTCCCTTCTAATGTTTGTTTAGCTTTTCCCCTTGAGTCAGTATTGGCTTGTGCACTCTCAGCTTGGATGAACCTCAGCATCTCTAGATGAGAAGGCATGTGTTCCAATTCTAGGCAGTGCATTAGAATAAAATCTCTTTTCAGAAAACTAAGAAAGTTCTTTAAACTCTTGTTGGATAAAAAACTGAATGTGCTGTGAAGATGGCCACTGTATTCTTAAGGCAGAAAGCAAGGTTTGGGCCTTGGTGTTTCAGTCATTTTGCAATGGTTACAGACACCTCCACAAGCACTGATCCAAACAAATGCTGGAAGCAACCTCAGCAGCTCAGGCACTCTTGCACATTGCCATTCACAACTCTTCATTCTGTATCTTCAATGATACAGGCCTTGATTTGTACACATTACAGTACTAGTCAGGGCTTGATCCCAACTGACTGTCCCAATACTGTAATGCTTTTTGCAATCCCAATGGCTGCACTTACTGACATCAGTGTTTTTTTTTTCTAAGCGAGATGTGTCCTGGAAGATAGCAGGGGCAGCAATTTCTTTGTCCTAAGGAGTAGTTAACTTTGTGTAACCTGAGTGTCTCTTAGTTCGAGAAATTACCTGAAGTAAGTTCTGTAACTTTTTTGGTCTCTTTCTTTGGTAGTACTGCAGAAGTTTTTTGATAGTATGGAAAGGCAGGAGAAATTATGACCTGAGGTTACATGCAGGAATGGGATCTACCAGAAAGAAAAGGAAGAGCTGGGAGGAGTTTAACAAACTGCGTTGAAGCTGGGCTCTGAAGTGAACCCATTATTCAGGTCGGGCAGACCTAGAGGTAATCTTACTGCAACTTTCCTTTTTAGAATGTTTCTTCAAACATAGTTCAGCATTGTTATCTGCAGCAGTTCATTTTTATCTTGCATATCTTGTGTAACATAACTTAAGTCTTCCCAGTCTTGATATCCCAATTCCCCTTTATATCAAATGCCAGCTTCTCCTAAAAAAAAGTGTTCCTTATAATACTGGTTTTTCAGAGGCATTGAGGTAGAGACATTGGTCTCAACAATAGCTTGTCTATCGTGAGCATGACAATGGTGGGGAAAGCAGAACTTGGCTCCCAATACTGTTGTAGTGCTTTGGCTGTAAGTTCATCCTTCCCTCCTTGCAAAGAAGCCAGATACCTCTTGCAGCTGAGCTTTGTTATGCTTCAGTTGGTAGAATTTCTCTCTTAAGTAAGGGATCACTGGAGACAAGTTTCCCTGTATCACTTCATTCGTAACGGGAGCGTGTTTCTGGGAGGATTGTACTCACCCTCTGGACAAAGATTTATTTGTTTTATTTCCTTACCGTGAGGCAACTGGTCAAGGTACATTTGCTGCTCTTAGGAATAGTACAGCACTGTGTTGCACATAGACTAGTCACTGCAGAGACCAGTTGTGCTGGCTGAGACCATGATGTGTTTTTTAAGGCTTCCATGAAGCATTGCTTGTGCCTCACCCAGTTGATAGTGTTATCCTAGAGGGCTATTAGTGGCAGAGCTGATTGTGTTTCTTTAAATGAACGATGCCAATGGGAATGGCATGTTAGGCAGGGCAGCTGCAAGCTCGTCCTGAAACACAACCACCCTTGGAAACCCTATCCCTACCCCACTGACCCATGCAGGCTGACTTCATAGTGTTGACTGACCACGCCGGTTGCGTCAATGCCTGAAATGTTACTGCTTCCTGGCAGCGGGGTGGATCCTGTCGGTGTGACTGATAACGTGTTACTCGAAGCAGGGGAAAAGCTGCATTTACACATCTTACACATGGCTGATAACACAGGCTTGTTACCCGTGGGATGGAAGAATCCTCGCTCAGTTGGGATGTCCCTGCAAAGCATGCTTCCAAATGCTATGCTCTGGAACTTTTAGGCAATATCATCTCCTCTTCACAAAGAGTCCCAGCAGCTCACTATCTTTAGCTCTGTCCCTTGCACTCACAAATGTGCTCTGGTGCTATACCTCAAGCCTTTAGGTCTGAAATGCTCTGCCCATGGAGAGGCTGTGTTGCAGAGCCCATTGCTGGAAAATAACGTTCTATGCAATAGCCTCTCTTCTGCTGAAATCCTGGCACTGCTGACTGTTGCAGCAGGAGAAGGAAACAATCTTTCTCCTTTTTTGTTCCATGTGAGGGTCACTCTCTTGTAAGAGCGCAGAGCATTGCTGAGCCCTGCAGATGCCTGGAGTTCTCAGTGATAAAGCCCGTTGCTCTCCCTCTCCTTTCCCCTCATTGCACTGGACTTATCTGGGTGCCTGAGTTATGTTAAGTGGCGGGTGCGTGCCTGTTCTCCATTCCCCTTGCTGCTTTTGCTCCTTGGATTTCAATTCCAAACATGGTTATCCCTCTGGGGTCCCTCTCCTCGCCGCTGCCAAGTGATAGACGTACCAAATCCAACCCTGCCGCCCTCCCCGCTGCTCTCTCACGGGCTCATTTTCACTGCCAGAGGGCTGGCGACAGGAGCATTGCAACCAGATCTCTAACTGGGCTCAGAGTTTTCCAGCTAATGGCCTCTGCTTTCTCTTTGCCTGAGCTTTTTCAGCTTCTGTTTCGCCAGATCTGTTTTTCTTTGGTGCAGCTAGGGAGAGGGCCAGCCTGATTTGTGAGCCACAAAGAGGAAAAGTGAGCTCTTTGGGGATTTTTCAATAGTGAAAACATCTAGCAGTGCTTTAACATGTCGCTGTGAAGTGCACTGCTGTGGGACCGGCCGGCACTGAGGAGTAGGAGGAGGAACAGCCACCCAGCAGCTCTGCTTTCAGACCTCTGCACTCTTTGCATATGACAATTGCTTTTTAACTCCAGCCGGCCGGGGCAGGATGAGCACCAGCAGCCCCTCCTGGGACCAAGCTGTCCTCCAGCCTCCTGCCTGCGATGCCTGGAAGGTGCACATGGAGGGAGCGGCCTACCATCTGGCCAGCTGTATCGTCCTCCTGGGCTACATGGGTGGCAGCGGCATCTTTGGGTCCCTCTACATTTTTGGCCTCCTGGCCCCGGGCTACTTCTGCTATGCTCTGTGGGGCTGGCTGAGTGCCTGTGGCCTTGACATCTTAGTCTGGAATGCACTGCTCGTCCTCACCTGCGTACTGCAGCTGGCCCACCTGGCTTACCGACTCCGCAGAGACACCGTCCCCGAAGAGTTTGAGCTTCTCTACAAGGCCATGTACCTGCCCTTGCAGGTACCCCTGGAAGTCTACAGAGAAATTGTGAAGTGCTGTGAAGAGCAAGTGCAATCATTAGGCCGAGACCAGAATTACGCAGTGGAGGGCAAGACGCCCATCGACCGGCTCTCCTTGCTGCTGTCTGGCAGGTAAAGCTCTCCCCGTTCCCAGCAGGCCCACAGCAAAGCACTGAGGCTGCTGTTCGTAGTTTTCTCCCTCCGTACTGACTGGGGTGGTGATTATTTCCTTCCTCTGAAAGGGCTTTGTGATATACACCTACCTGCTGCTTTTGCTGTTTTTTTTTTCTTTTCAATTTGCCTTTGGGCTTTTTCTATATATAAAAATAGTTCAGGTAATGATGCACAGTTAGCACAGCTGTGCTTCTGATAATGTTGGCGGATCCTTATCTCTTTCTTTGTGTTTTTAAAGTGATCTTATTTCTAGTGGGAGCAGACCTGGAGCCATGAGAGCAGGAGGTGTGTCTGAACCTGTATTCTCTGTGGGTTCCAGACACAGCTCTGTGCTATGGGTGACTGAGTATGCCAAGCAGGAGTCTTTGGTTCACCTGCTGCCCTGGCCAGCAGCATTAAGGGAGAGCTCCCTCCCCATCCCCATTATCTGAACCCTCAAGTTTTTCCACTTTGAGGGTCATTTTGTCAAAAGAGAATCCATCTCACCTCAGCAGGCCCCTTTCTTTTTTTGTATTGTCATGCATCCATGCTGTTCCTTCTGGACCATCACGGAGGATCTGTAGATGGTTGTAGCTGTTTGCCTTCAAGCTATGTTCATTTGCTATTTATTTACTGGGGGGTTTGATTGTAGAGTGAACAGTGCTGATGAGGTACTGGCATTTGTTTACCCTAGAGCCTGTGGCACACTCCCTTGAGTGTTCTAATTTTCAAAATCTAAATGCAGAAAATAGTAGTGATATTAACTGCTGCCAGGCACTCAGCATTAATGTCAAAAGAGAGTAAAAAAGGAAAGAGACCTGTAAGTCTCACAAGGATTTTCCTTTGGGAAGATGAATCCAGCATCACCTGGAACTTGTGGTCTACCGCACTGGAGGTGAGGGGGTGCATGAAGAAGGGTTGTCCTTGCTTTTTCTTGTATGTTTGGACATTTCTGGGGGATGTGTTAAGAGTGTTCTGGGACTACCAACCCAGGCAATGTACTGAGAGGAAACTGGGGATGTGTATTTCTACTGGATGCCCTTCTCCTTACCAAACTCCAGGCTGAACACCCTCCTTTGAAGTGTAACAGACTTGCAAATAACATTTCTGGGGAGAGCTGCTTTGCCTTGCACTGGCTCATCTGCTGCTGCTCTGTGAGCACAAAATGCTGCAATGTACAGTAAGCCAGCACTGGTGAGGTTGTTCTGCTCTCTTTTGCTGTGGGAAGTATGCATCTTGCTATGAGATGCTCTGTGGAGGTGGGATTGGATTTGCATTTCTTGCTACCCACCCTGCTACCTTACAAGGCCGTGGCTGACCCTGCAGAGCACTGCTGCTCTTCTGATGCCCTCTCTGGAATGGAAAAATAACAAGATAAGGTGGGCTGGAAGCTCAGGATGTGCCTGGAACAGAAATTCTTGCAGTCCTTGACTTTCCCAGGCAGTGGATCTAACTAAGTGGAATTCAGCAGTGAAATGAGCTTCGTAACTCCTAAAAGCTAAAATTGCCCTTGAGCTCATGCTACTGCAGAGTGTGGCATGCAGCAGTGTGGTGGTGCAGAGCAAAGAACAGAGCTTCAGCCTGCCCTGCCATTGTTCCAGGCTATGCAAATGATGCTTGGAAGGCAAGAGGCTGCAAGATTGAATATGCAGCAAACTATGAGCTTGCAGCATGCTGCCAGTGTGATTCTGGGAGAGGACTGTGCAGCATGGAGGTGAGGATTGCCTGCCCTCATGCAACTCAAAGGAAAGTGGGAAGATGCACGTAGAAAGAGGTATGGTCAGGCTGAGAAGTACTTGAACAGCAGCAGTCTTGTGGACTGAGAAGTCCTGGTTTAGGACTGGCATTGCACCTGGTGAGGTCTGGGTATGCAGTAAGAAATGAAACAAGTGGAGAGCAGGGCAGTGGCAGTGAATCTCATTTCCCACTGAGAAAAAGAGAGACAGCCCCAAAGACCAGAGTGTTTACAGCTGCCTTTGGTAGGCTGTGGGACACACATGAGGTAGGGAGAAGGCCCCTCCTTGCAGGTGGGACCAGCTGTGTGGTCAATTTCATGGGATATCTCCTTTGCAATCTAAGCCTTTGCATTTTGCCTGTACCTGCAGGATCCGTGTGAGCCAGGATGGGCAGTTCCTCCACTACATCTTTCCATACCAGTTTCTGGACTCTCCAGAATGGGAGTCACTACGACCTTCCGAGGAAGGAACGTTCCAGGTAACCCTGAGTGTCACCCAGGCTCATTCCTGGTGTCCTACAGCCAGTCAGCAGCAATGCCAGGCGCAGTTCAGCAGGCAGGGAGGCCTTGGGTTGCTGGCTTGCTGCTGTCAGAATGCTCCCTTATGCCAACACTGAAATGTTTGCCCAGTGGGCTGCATTGTTCTGTGGCAGGATGGCATCTATTTGGGGTGGAGAAGCAGAAAGGATGATTCACGCCTGAATATGGTCCTTTCTGAGCAGAGGAATCCCTTGCTGAGAGACCAGAGCGATTGTTATTTGCAGCAATTGAAAGGGTTTTGCTCTTGCTGTCAACACCACAGTATTTGTTGTTTGGCTTTCCTTCTGGAGGAGATTATGCAAGCCCGTATCTCTCCGCCTTTAACCCATGAGGTTGGCTGATAGCTATCAGGATGTCAATCTAGAGTATGCCAGTTGAGGCATATGAGGAGGGGCTTTGCTAATCCCTGGGGAGGATGGGACAGTCATGAGAGAATTATGCTCTTATGAGGACAGCCACGTTCAGACTTGGTTAAGCCAAGGCAGCTCCCCATATCTGCTTTCCTCAGGTCTGAATTTGTCCTGGATACCGTGAGGGGGGGAGGGTCATGGTGACTGGTTCTGAGACCTCTGCCATCACTGATCATCGCAATCCTACCAGAGCAGCAGCAGCAGGGAATGGCTGACCCTCTGAGGGTGGCACAGGCTACAGCTTGTGAACAGAAATTGAGATGTCAGGCCAAGGTACTGAGGTGGATGGAGAGTAACAACAGCATGGCTGTGCCGGAGGTGGAGGTATCTTGTGTTCTGCACCAGGCTTCAACCTACTCCTGAGTTCTGCTTGAGTAAGAGTTGAGAAAAGTGAACAATATCTGTTGTTCCTTGAGGGAAAAGGTCCATCTAAAGCAGGAAACTTCTGGACAGGCATCTGAGCTAATTTCTGTGGAATCAAATGTTCCTAGAACTCCTGGTCAAGGAGATCAGTTGCACCAGGGCACTGGGATAGGTGGTGTTGGTCTGGGTAGGGAAAGGCTGCAGCAGCATGCTAGAAATGCCTAAATCCTTGTCTGCTCACTAAGGGGAGTGAAGAATTATCAGGCTGCATGAGACCAAAATTCATCAGGTGTGGTTTGACTGGTCCACGTTCCTGGCAGAACATTGTTCTTGATGCATATGGTAACAAGCTTGATGCGTACATGTAACATGCATCTTGGGCAAGTGTTAGACCCACTAGTTCCTCTTATCTATGTCACTGATAAGACTATCTCATCTCAACCTTATTCCAGCACCACAGTCGTTTGGGTAGAAAAATGCCTATTTGACTCTGGACCTTTGCTGGGAAGAGGACATGGAAGGCTTTTCTTGCCCACATTTCCCCTGTGGATGTCTGGGTTGAGCAGTTCTGGGCCCACTGAGAAGTGGCAAGTGCCCGACTCACTCCACTTTTTCTCATGTCTTCTGCTTTGGCCACGTCTTCTTCCCACACTGCTGCTGAGCTGCTGGCTTCCAGTGCCTGGAGTAGTCGGGTTTTGTGGCTGGCTCATTCTCCCAGAAGCTCTGATGATGCCAGAGGTTCATGAACAAATCCTGTCCTGTTGCCCTGATTAGGAGAAAACCTAACCAGGTTTTGTTGTCGCAACTCACCTAATCCCTTGTGAAAAGGAGAGGCCTTTCATTGCTGTGCCAGAAATTGGTTAGGAAAAGGAGATTTTTCTCACTGCATTTTCTGTGTGACCCGTAGTCTTGCTAACCTTGCCCTGGGGAAGTTCTCAGCTACTAGGTCCTGTATTTCTTTCATAGGGCAGCTGCTTGCATGGCAGCAGTGTTAGGTATCAATCCCAAGGACACGCACTTGCAGCCAAGCCATGTTCAGCTTCCCGATGGCCTTCCGCCAAGGTGACTGGCCAAGGAGACCCCTGTGTATGGAGTGAAAGGGAGCCCCCGGGATATTTTGTTTCCAACACTTGTTTGCGTGCCTGTGTCTCCATTACATTTGGATGTTCTTCTCTGGCCCAACAGTGTTTCACCCTGCATATGTTTCTTATATTTTATTATTATATTTATCGCAATATATGGTCATGTGTTGTATATTTTAAAATTATTGCTGGCCTGGTCTTATAGCTAGTGTAAAAAATGGCTATAATGACTCCTTTACTGCCCCACAGGTCACATTAACAGCTGAAACTGACTGCAGTTACATCACCTGGCCAAGGCGGCGGCTGTACCTCCTCCTGAGGAAGGACCGCTACATTGCCCGCCTCTTCTCCTCCCACCTGGGCTATGACATCTCAGAGAAGCTCTACTCCCTCAATGAGAAGCTCTTTGCCAAGTTTGGTCTTCGCTTTGACATCCGCTTGCCCAGCCTCTACCATGTCCTGGGGCCGGCCTCCTCAGAGGGGGAGCTGGAGGAGGCCGAGGAGCTGCCGCGCTCACCGCAGCCTGACCATGGGCTGGACGGGGCCTTGGAACCCCCTCCACAGCCTCCACCACCACCACCACCTGCTTCGCGCCCTCGGTCCTCCCGGGCCGAGAGCGACCTGCTGGGTGAGGACTCCACCAGTCTTGTCTTGGAAGATTTTGCTGAGTTACCAGGGTCATTTATGGACTATGTGAGCGAAGGGGAGTATATGAAGTGAGGGTGCTCCCTGTACGGGCATGCGTCACCCCATGTGGCACCCCTGCGTAAGTACCTACCAGTGGCAGCAAGTCGTTCCCCAGCCTCTTGCCCTTGCTTGCCACAGAGGTAAGGAAAAGTGCAGGTGGCTCCCCTGAGATCCCCAGGGGCAGAGGTACAGCAACCTCAAAGCAGAGCAGAAGATAGTGGCTGCTCAGCCTTACCAGTTCCCTCCTGGTGGCTTCCCACTACCAGCGCAGGATTCCTTGCTCTCCTGTTATGGAGGTTAGCATACAAGTAGGTATAAACCCACACCACACAGCCCTCTTTTTCGCCAAGGAAATCACCACAAATGTACCTTATGATTGTCAGGTGCACCTGCTTGGTCATCATGGTGCTGGGAAGGACTGTGATACTGCCGTGAGGTCTGCTGCACTTGGCAGCGTTTTTTTGCCAGCTGATACAGAGGACCCAAGGAGATGTCCTTGACCTACATGATTTTAAGCAGGAGGAGGTAAAAACTTAATTATAGGCATCAGGCACACAGTGGGGTCACCAACCCATAGGAAGCGCCTCCCTGCCTTGTTCTCTCCATCCCCCTGGGGAGGCAGAGGCACTATAATGGTGTCCAGGTTAGTGGGATGTATGGGTATCTGCAAGGACAGCATGGGATTAGCCTGTTTGTGTGAGGTAGAGCTGTGACTGGAGATACTCTGGTGTGGAACTGAGGAGAGTAAATGCAGATAAGGGAGCTGACAACTTCAGTGAGGCCAGCACAGGTAAAACCACCTCCTGGGCTTAACGTGGATGAATAGTGGGGAGCACTGTGCATTGTTCAAAGTCTCCAATGACACTGAACTCTGGCAGGCCAAATGTAAAATGTTGTTTTTACATGCCCCAAGCTCTACTTTCTGGTAGGTGGGAATAAAATGCTCCCCTCCAAAATGCCAGCTCCTTGCTCTTGGGGAAGGAAATTCCTGGGCTTGGGGACATTGGGGCAGTACAGGCAAACAGAAATAGCTAGTAGACTGGCTCATACTTGAAATTCACATACAAGTGGCTGAGAGATAAATTCCATGCTGAGCTACATTTAGCCAGCTGCTGCACGCCAGCTGCAGTCTCCAAATGTGCATTCCTGCTGTCTTGAAATGCTGCTTTCTGGCAGCCAGTTGCCAGACTCTAAGCATAGGGCTGGGATTTCTGTCCTAGAAGTGACCACTGCATGAGTCCAAGCTGAGTCTGCAAGAAAGCTAAAAAGAGTTTTGAAAGCAGTGGAGCTGGAAGATCTTCCTGTCCAATGCCATTCTGCTTTGAATTAAGCCATGTGCCTGTTCCTGCATTTCCATGTCTACTGACTTGAAATCTGGAATATGATGGAGCTAGCCAGGAGAGGAACAAGTGTGTTTGGTTTTCCTTGAACTGGATTTAAACAAAACAAAATAAAATAGCAAGAGTTTTGCTTAGTTTAAAAAAAATGGCTCGCAAAAAAAAAAAAAATTAAAATCCTTATTTATTTTCTAGCTTAGGAGTTCTCCTAATTTGACAGTTAGGCTGTACGCTGCTGGAGGTACAAACTTGAAGCTTTTTCAGTCCTTACTTGGAGAAGCAGGAACATCAGTTATGAGACAGTCATTCTCTTAACTGTCAGGCATTTCTGTTGCATAGATGCAATCAAAAATAAATGCAGTTAGTGCTGTAAATGGGGTACAGGCACTTTGTCTGTGTTTTGCTTGTATGTTGTTTTCTCAGTGCTAGGATATCCATTCTCAGGTCACTGGCAGAATTCTCCTGGTAGATGAAGCTCAGTAAAATCAGAATTTCAAATGCTTTCAAAAAATAAGGAAGGAAGTGATGGAGGCAAGGAATACCACAGCTTTTCTTGAATTGAACCTTTCAGCCAAGTGTATTTGGCGTACGACAATACTGTGAACATGCATGCAAAAGGTGCCTGTTTACATTCGCATTAGGGAAGGCTCATGGGATGCAACACAAAGGTCCATATTCTGTCATAAAGTCCTCTTAAAACATTTGGAAGCTCTTGTCTTTCTAGATCTTGGGACAGAGGCAATGTCAGCATGGCTTGATATTTGGAGTAGAGACTTGTGATAGAAGCCCAAATGTTCCAGAGGTCTGTGTTTGGAGTGGAGGAGGGGGACGGTCTTCCTTTTGTCACACCAGGACATTGTTCCACCATGACCCGAGCACTTAACAGCAAAAGGTAGTGCTAGAGATGAGCTGCAGTTCTCCCTGCTGGCTGGGCACATGTGCAGCTGCACCAACCTGCTGCAGCCTGGGGCAAGCACTTTTGTAACTTCTGCCTTAAAAGGGGTGAAAACAGTAAACAGGGATAGTCCTCACAGCTTGCTTGAGGTATGCAATAGCTGTGGTCTCAGAGCTTCTCTGGGGCTTTCCCATGTCCTGAGCTCTCATCTGTCTCTCCAGCAGCTTCCAGCCTAGCTAATTACCTTCTGGTTCTCTAAATTCTCTAAATTCTTCTTGCTGAAGTGCTTCTGCAAATCACCTTTCTTTTCATTGACCATTGCCACCTTGCTACACCATAATGCAGGAAACAGGTTCTGAATGACCACAGTGATTTTTGAATAGATCTCAGTTGGAAAAAATCTGCAAGGTCACGAAGTCCAACCGTTAGTGTGACCTACTGAATCTTATCACTAAACCACATCTCTTAGTTCCACATCTGCATATTTCTTAGATACCTTCAGAAGTGGGAACTCCACTGCTCTGGACAGCCTCTTCCAATCCCTGGTCACCACCTCTGTGAAGAATTTCTTCCTGATGTCCAACCTAAACCTCCTCCTTGCAACTTGAGGCTGTTTCAATACAAAAACTTTCCTGTGTGTTGTCCTACTATACTTATCATCTAGTCCTTGAGAGAATTTCTAGTCTGCTTGCAAGCAAACAGACTGTGTTATCCTACTGAAGAGCACATGCTTTTTCAGGAGAACAGCTATTTCAGTAATTCACCTGTTTAAAAGAGACAGGTTCAAGGGTTCTGTTCAAAACTTGTTTTAGCAGCACACTGCTGTATAGCCCAGTGCTCCCTAGCAAACAAAGCTTTAATCCCTGAATGAAAATTGATACAACCACAAGCCACCTGCCTTTTCCCCCTTCCATATTGCATTCGCTCTGGCTTGTTCTATAAATGCTTGCAAGATGCGTAGCTGCTGCTACTTAGTTTTGCATCTGTGAGCTGGCTTTCTCTTGGGTGGGCAAAATGGATGGGTGCTCGATGGGCTGTAGCCTGGTATCTACATTAGTAGGAACTTTTACACCTGCTTTGTGAGCAGAACTAAAGGAGCTCTGGGCTTTGTTCCAGTGGTATCACAGAAGATGCTTGGAAAAGCTTTGGTTTTGCTGCCTCAGTGTGCTTGGATAACATTTTCTGATTTATTGTGTGTGGAAGAATTATATGGTTTTGCATGCTAATTTAACGGGAGAGGGTGAAGAGGAAAGGTAATGGTGAACTCTGTGAGGTTTGTGTCTTGGAAAGGTTTGCAAAACAAGTAAGAATTATTCCTCTGACGCTAACTTTCTTTCTTTGTCTCTTTCTCTCCCCCTTAATTTTCCTTCCTGTTCCACTGCTTTCTTTCCACAGCCTCTGAGAACCTCCGGAGCCACCTTCCTGCTCCCTGCAAAGGACAAGCTCCCCTGGCTCCCACGCAGACCCCTGAGCTCTAGGGAACAGCAGGCTGTTTGGATCCCAAGCCCCCCTGGGGGGCGTGTGTACTCACACACCTTTCTGACCAGATGGACACTCTGTAGCACGCACCAAAATGTCTGCCTGCATGGACACGGACACTCAGGAGCACATTGAAGCACATGCGTGGGACTGCAGTGACCCTCCAGCACCTCCCACTCCACAGTTTGCTTCAACCTGCTGGCCCCAGGGTGATTCTCTGGTTTGGCATGTCGGCAGGCCTGGTACCATGGCACAGCAATACGGCTGCAAGCAGCATGAGCTGCTCACAGGATCTGTGTTCCCTTTGATTTAATGATTCCCATTAAAGACAGAGGAGAAGTTGGTGGTGTCTGAGGAGTTGGAGAGGGTGATAATGCTGCTTGAAGAATGCGAGGTGGTTTGAAAGCCATGGGAACAGTGGGAATTGGGGGTGCCTGGTGGCTTTGGTAATGGGCATGTATCGGAAGGCATAATATGGAGAGTGGATCTATTACATCACAGTAGGCATTTGCTCTAGTAAGGCCAGGAAAGCCCTTCTAGGGATTAGGTTTCTCACTGCTGGCAAGCACTGCTTATCAAAGAATTTACCAGTTTCTGGTAAAGGGTTTGAATTGATTCTTTTGGATTAAGGAAGAGGAGAAACTGGGGCTCTGGTGAGAAGGAAAGTCTGAAATGGCATTTTTGTACTCAGTGGGGCTTGGTCTCAGGTTGTGCACACAGTAAAGGGAATGAGAGCAAAAAGCCTCTGGGGAAAGCAGCCCCTAGGAGGGAGGAGGTAGTGCAACACCTTAGGAGGAAGTGTGGAAATGGAAAAAACATCTTCCACATTCAATTGCAACAGTAGTTGGCTGATGGGCTTTCCTCACCAGACAGATCTCCAAGTGAGGTCTGAGGGCTTGGCATCTGGCTCCACTGAGCACAGGAGGTAACTCTGCATTGACAATGTCTGGTGGAGTGACAGCTCATGCCAAGTGATGTTTCTGCTTTCTCAAGGCTGAAATGCCTTTAGTATGTTCCTTTCTCTTGACTGTGGTGTTCCTGGTATGCTTCTGTGTCACCCAATGATGCCAGTCTGGGGAACTAGAGAGGGTGATCTGCAGAATGTGTGGATTTTGGGCAGTGAGGGAAGATTTGTGTCCTCTTTAATTTGCAGATACATCAAGGTGGTGGAAAATGGGTGGAATGGATGAGGGCTGCTTGTGAGTGTATGTTTTCCTCTTACTGTAGGCTTCTGCCAGTACTTTCCAGACATCTGCTACTTTTCAAGGTCTAAAGGGCTGCACTGAGCTCCTGGGACTAATTTGTGTTAGGTAGTCCTGTAGCTGCAGCGTTCTGTTCTATTATCTTTTGTTCTGGGTGGTTGTTTTAAAGCAGTGCAAAGTTGTATGGAAGAGCACTGCTGTGTTTCTGGCATCCATGTGAGCTTCAAAGAGAACAAACCAACAGCCAGAAGAGCTACATCTTGTCATGGGGTGAGAATCCACTTTGATTATGTAGCATGAGTACTTAAATACATGAAATCAATAGACTCTCAGGCTGAAGGTGTCTTGTAGGTGGTGGAAGTGAGTTCTGAACTGGGGAAAGTTGCCAAAGCAATAGGGATGTGATTTAGTGGTGGATTTGGTAGTGTTAGATGGTGGTTGAACTTGATGATCTTATAAATCCTTTCTGATCTAAATGATTCTATGATTCTGTAATGCTTCCCTATGCCAAGACTGAACCAAAACTGAATTCTTCGTTCTGAAGATAAAAATACTATGCACCTTTAGTACAAAGATCTCAGGACACTTTAATAAAACACAAATGAATCATCCTAATACTCCCTGTGTAGGAAGAGTGAAATTATGTTCTTGTTTCATAGCAATTCAAATCTTGAGATTAAATGACTCACCCATTTCACTTTTCAGATCTGAAAACAGAATCTTGTGAGATAAAAGTCCCAATACAATCTTTTTACTGAGAGGTCTTGTAACTGCTTAGTCTTGTAGTTGCTGATGTACTGGTTGCTGCTTTTCCTTGATATCCATTCCTAAATGCAGGAACTAAAAAAACACCCATCCAGTTCTGTAATGAAAGTGTCATCCGTGAGAGAGAGCAACAGCAGGTTTAGAACTCCCTCCCAGCTTTGGGTATGCATGTGCGCTCCAAAAGCAGTGCTAGGTGCAAGCAGCAGACAGTTGGAGAGAGAGTTCTGTGTTGTCATGAAGAGTGAGGATCCTGGGCAGACAGAACATGGTCCTGCTGTGGGAAGAGCACAGGGAAGTCAGACTGTGTTTTAGCAGGCAGGGATTGCTGTCCTAACACAGGGACAAGCAAGCTGCTGATGGATCTTGTGCTGCTTTGCAAAGGTATGATGAACATGTGCTGAGCTGGGATGAATCGGCTGGACTTTTCTGCTCTGAGCAGTTGTGTGATGAGTGTAGTTGTGAACCTGTGCAACTTCACAGCTTCCCACCTGCATCACATCCAGCACTCAGGTGGTACAGGTCAGCAAACTTCAAGGCCACATGCAATGCTATCCCATTCATAAGTGGCAAAAAGCCACATATCTGCATATCCATCACTGCTTTGTAGTTCTTTGCTCTGCTAAGCATGCTAATGAGGAAGAGTCATTACCCTTAAATGCCTGAAATCTATGAAGGAATTATTATTTTCTTTGGGCCTATAATATATTTTGCTGCCTTGTGCTTGACTTCCCTTGCTGCCCTTCAGAACAGAGTCTGAACAGAAGCTGGTTGCCCTGCTTTGGAGTACCCACTGGCTTGCTTCAGCCTGGAGCCAAGGTAAGTGCTGGCTCAGTGACAATATGGAAAGAATATAATGCATCTGTGCGGACCCAGTTATTTTGCGCTGCCTACGAGAACTTAGGATCTGCAACAGTCCTGGCAAGTCTATGGAGTAGATTGTCATCTCTTTCAGAATGAGAAGGTCTTGGTTGCTTCAGCTCTGGAGAAGGTAGTTATAGCTGAAGGTATGTACTCGCAGTGTCTGGCTCCAAGAATGGCTGGAGTGGTTGTGTTCAGCCTCAGTGCTTTGTTAAATTGTGTGAAGTGTGTGTGTATACACGCACACACATATCTGTGTGGTCTTCTGTTATCTTATCCTGGAAAATGTGCATTTCCATCATGTTTCAAATGGGGACCCATTGTAGGAATGGGAAAGGTGAAGAGAACAAGGAAGGACAAAACCAACAATTCCTTTTAGTATGAGTTTTTGTCATGGTTTTTGACTTCACTGTCTTCAAGGTGAGGTGAGTAGCATTTTCCGTGTATGGTGTGCAACACTTTTAGCCTAAGGGAAGGACTGAAGAAAACTCATGGAAAACTAACTACCTTGGTAGTTTTTCTCTCTCACGAGTAGGAAATTATTTATATGGGGACACAGAAAGATGAGAGAGACCTCTTCAGAAGTTTATCAAAACTGGAGAGAGAATGCACTGATATATACTACAAACTTAATCTCCAGCTCTGTGCATCCCTGGGAGATATTCCTGTGACTTACTTGTTACCAAGAGGCAGTGGAGCTGCACAGAACTTGCCAACAACGTATGACTCATCCTTCCTCCAAAACCGATTCTTGGGCAGGTATTTGAGTGTCACACTGTTTGTCTGGCAGAGGGGAGCCCTGTGGGCCAGCAGCCGTCTGCCCACCTCCTCCTGCTTAGGTCTGCAATGGAAGGGAAGAGACGTGAGGGTTGGTGTTCAACCAATGTCTAGATGCAGATTGAAACACTGGAGGAGCCTCGAGCACTCATCCAAACCCCTTGGGTAAAAAAAAAAAAAAAATAGAGTACAAGACTCATCTGTCAAAACATAGGGCATTACAAGAGAGTCAGTAATTGAACGTATCTTTCTTAGCCCACTGTTCACATTTCATCTCTGCAATCCGGAGTACTTCCACATAAAAATTACTGTCACGTGTTAGAAACTTTACATAACTGCATAAATTCATGGGAAGAGTATGGACAGGTTCACAGAAAATAGAAGTGTTGGGAGCTAATAAACACAACTCACCTTTGGCTCTGACTGTCCCTGAAATGTGTTTGGCTAGAAATGGGGAAACTACCTTCAGAAATCATTGCTGCATGCCTACGTTGCCTTATTTATGCTCTTCTCGAGGTATTTACTTTAGGCCACATTGAAGGTGAGATGCTGGGATAGATGGAATTTTGCTTGTTCTTAAGCTCTTTGCCACATAATGTGAACTAAGGAAAGCCAGAGCTTGGTGGCAGGCTGTATGCCCTGAAGTAATGCTGCCCAGCTGTTTTACCTTAGTGGGCTGCCCCCCTTCCATGGAATCTGGACATCTTATGCCTGACATACTCGGCACCTATCCCCATTTACTGTTTAATAATATGTATAGTGGAGTTGGTGAAATCCCAGAAGCATTTGGTGACTATCTGCTCAGAAACATGACAAAGGGAAGAGATAAAGGGATCAGGAAGAATGTACAATTCTGGTAACCAAAATAAGTTGAGGATCAGACCGATGGCTGGACCTCCCAGAAGAGCCAGAGCCAATCCAAACCAGTGCATCCAGTTCTCTTCTTAGACTGCAGTGGTAGATGCTGGAGTTTTATGTGTGTGGTTTGAAGCTGTCCAAAATGAGAAGCATCATTAAATTGTGGCTATAAGGGTGAATGATGGATGATAGATGGAAAACAAACTGAGGAAGACTGTCCCTTTACATGTGCATGGACAGGATCCAGCCATGCCGTAGGCCAAAGGAGCTCAATTAATTAGACTGAAGAAATTCACTACTGGGACTGACATTTTGTCAAAGCCTTTGGGTGCATGTAGGACTCTGGCTAACTTCAGAACTATGTTTTCTTGGCTATGGGGGATGAGGCCACGCTACATAACATGGTACATAAGCAACACCAGT